AGGAGAAACAGTTCAGTTAGCAAAAGTACAGCCACAGCAAATTCTTTCACTTAAAGAAGTTACATCCATTTTTTATGAAGAAAGTAACATAAAGTTACGGTAGGATCACCACTGATTTCTATTCTGAGCCATATCTCACAACGTCTTTAGCCACTGTGTTACATCATATCTAGGACTTCAATCAAGGAGTCGTGAAGGATCAACAGAAGCCAATCCTGTACAGCTTTCTTTCATACCACGACACCACGTCGTATACTGACCATCTCTCCTTTTTCAACCTGTTCTAGCGTCGGCAGATAATGCACGACGTGGAATTCTCTGGGATGACATTCATAGAACATGTCCAAGCCACCGAAGTCGATGTTTCAGGATGGTGATACCAATTGCATTATCGTCTCTGCGCCCGAACACACGATGCCAAACCTCTACATTACTAATAACGATGATCAAACACAGAGAGTTGTGTAACATTCTCAACTCGGAGAGGCCAGATTTTACAAGCATAGAGCAAAACTGCTCTCACCGACACATTGTAAATCCGACCTTTTACAGTCAGACTAATATCACGAAGGTGCCAAAGATGGCCCAGATTGGCATAAGCCGCTCTGGCTTTGATCTCATCACTCACGCCACCAACAGAACTTATGAAGCTACCCAGATATACAAACCTCTCGACTACTTCTATCTGCTCACTACCCAGGATGAGTGCAGGATTTAGATTTGACAATTGTTAACAAAAAATACTTAAATTGAATTTTAATGTCAATTGTATTACATTTTTTTGTTTTTGAAATATGAAATTCAACGTCAAGGTGCACGGAACAAGCTGTGAAACGCATATGGAGAAATTCGAATACTTCACTTCTATCTGAAGTTTGTGCTGATTATGTCGTTCACAAGAACGATGAAAACTCCACGACCATACCATCCAGCTCAGAGAAAAAAACTCCAAAATTCAACCACTAAATTACTACAATTTCAACAAACCCTCATTCTGACAATATTGAAATCCATAATAATTTTATAATAAGCATGGAATTCCTTGCACATAAACTTTCAAATCGAATGCATCACGGAGCTTTATTTGCAAACTTAAAACAGAATTCCATGCTTTTCATAATATTTGTATCTAGAGCACAGATTTCTGATATACCGCGTACAACCTGAGCACTCAAACGCTAGAACTCTCCAAGTCGCAAATGAGAAGACAGAAGATAAGTGAGAAGGAATGTTATTCCAATCAATGTCCAAGTATTTATAGTTTTCAGTAAAAGCGAAATCATCATCATAGTCATCCAAGACGCATTTTATCTAATAGGGAAGCAACATATCAAGATCCTAAAATGTTCTTCCAAAAGATCATTGAATGGAATATCTACGGCTCTTTCTGAGCTTCTTAAAGCTTCATCGAGTTCACCCATGAGCCGACCTAACAGTATTTTTATGAATTTCAATATTGTTTGTAGAATTAAACTCATGAGGGGAGACTATAATTTATGGACAAACCAATCAGATATAAGATAACAGGTCTCGAATTTTGACACGAAATTCACTCAACCAATTGGCTAAATACCATTTTGGCATTATAGCTGATGTCATCGACGAAAACCTTAAATCTAATTCGTAAATCTTGATCATCAACTGTAAATAACACGAATTTATAACCCTCATTTGGTCCTAGCGAACATACGTCGTCCATTGAGTAAGCAAAATTAAGGCGAATCGAAACAGAGGTAGAGAAGATTACATGTCCATAATTTCCGAGTACATTCTAAAGAATTCGTAAAATGAGTGTAACAGCTTTAAATAGTGTAATAGCTTGTAGTGTCGGTCATGTTAAGCCCATATACCTTATTCTAGCTTTCGGACAGCACATTCTATTCATTCTACTTGAGTCACATTCTGACCTTGTTAATTATTCGCTTATCAACCTTGACTGTTTGTATATGAGCGCGTAGGTGTGTGTACATTTCTTTATCCCATTACTCATCACATGTCTGTAACTTACTTTTGTGTAACTATAAATATTGGTTAACGCTTGGTTAAATGGGAGTTGGCTTACCCGCCATCTCGACTGCGCGTCGTTTTGCTTCTCTCTATTCTATTCACTTCATATACAAAACATATGTATTCACAAGTCCATTCTCGTCATTTGACTTATTTAATTCCGTTATTGACTAACGCGACTTGAGTCGATGATTATATACGAAGATAGGCAATAACAAACATTCATTACGATTATCTTGGAGTCAGATTTCGGGCCACTAAAGTGGAGAGCCCTTTCGACAACATTGTTCGATCTAAATGACGATTAAATAACGGGGCTCCACAAGCTCGGTATTTAATTGATAGTTTGTATATAAATAATGTTTCACAATACTTCAAAAATGAATCAACAGACAAAATGGCATAGCTTCTAATCGTTTCGCTGAATTAGTAACATTTAAAATACTATGTTCAATTGCTAAGGTGGCCCCCAAATGCCCTGATACGGCCGAGAATAGGGAGAGTCGGCTCTCCCTATTCAAATGCTCTCACATGGCTAGGTGCATACAACCAATGTCTTCTCACGGCATTACTGTTGTTTATGAAAAGCAAATGTCCAGCACTTTAACCAGATTGGTAGATATGGAGGATTCACTTAGGGCAGTTGGAAAACTCTGGTTCAAAATCAATGGCGCACATGGGCTTGCACCTTCTACTTTTGCTCCACTGCCTTTAGATCGAAGGCTCCGGGTGTGGCCCCCTAAGAAGACCACCTGCTTCGGTCTGGGAACACGGGCAGAATTACAGCCCACATGCACAAATCAAGTGACCTGTGTGGCGCCTATGTATTTGATGCTCTTATGCACCAATACCTATGTGTTCAAATAAAATAAAACCCTTATTACAAGCTTTAATTTGATCCATGGACTATTATTATACAGTTTGCAGTTCTTGAGTTATACCCAGTCTGTTAATTAGTCTCCCACATTCACAGTCACTTTTGGCTATGGCTATGTTATGGTACGATGTGGTCTGTTTGGTTCGTATACAAATCCAGTATGTTTGAAATATATGATTCATATCGCAGAGGCTGGGCTTGGTGTTCTGGACTCTAACAGGCAGAAAGAATCGATGGAGACTCTGGACTGCTCGTACAGGTTTACGCGTCATTGCTCCGGTCGACAAATCACTGTTCTCTAGTTGGCGGTATCATTACATTATATATTAATACAGTTACAAGATATAACAGTAACCTAATAGTATTTGTTAATAAACCTTATTTTTCTTAATGCTCCCCAATTTGTTGTATCAGACCAGTCTTATTTCCAAAGGTGACAATTGGTATTGATAAGTTCATTCACTAGTAACTGAATTCACAACTTCATATCCTATTTGAATTTCGCTAAGCAGCAATACAGGCAAACTGCTAACCTAAGGAATGTTTATAGATCCAGATTATCTGGTTAGTATCTTCATGATTACTGAAATCAATGATTGCAGATATTGAGTGATATCGCTCGCAACTGGTCACAATGGTATATATATATATATATATATATATATATATATATATATATATATATATATATATATATATATATATATATATATACTCCCTCTATTTCTCTCCTAGTTTCTTTAGCATCAATATTCCTTCATACATACATTCTTTTCACTTCGTCTTTAAACTATATTATTGATATTTGAACTCTTTCATTATTATTGTTATTATGAGATTATTTCGACTCATTTTGTCGATTTCGTCGTTCCAATTTACATATTTATTTAAATACATAAACATTGGTACAAGTAGGCACCAAATACATATGCGCCAAACAAGTCACTTGATTTGTGTATGGGCTGTGATACTGCCCGGGTGCCCAAATCGAAGCAGGTGGTTTTCTTACGGTATCACACTAGGAGCCTTCGACCTAAATGTCTGATCCACAAGGCAGTGGAGCAACGGTAGGAGATGCAGTCTCATGGTAGTCGGTCACCAATAATTGGTTCATACGCCTTTTGTTGTTTCAGGATCCTGGAGCCCATGTGTACCATCGATTTGGAACCCGAGTTTTGCAACGGCCGTAAGTGGATCCTCTATATCCCCCAGCCTGACTAACGCGCCGGACATTCGCTTTTCGTCCTCTCAATTTCGTAAACAGCACCTTCACCGCGAGAAGGCAGTAAGTAGAACTCCTCTGGTAGTTGTTGTATGCACGTGGTCATGTGGGAGCATTTGGAGAGGGTGAGCTGACTCTCCCCACTCTCGGCCATACCAGGGTATTTGGGGGCAATTAATTAGTAAATTATAGTAACTTGTAGGTCAACATATATTTGTACCACGTCCGACGTTCATTAGGATTACTGACAGACAGATGTATGGTAGAATGTAACATATATACAAGTGCATTGTCATTGTTATCATTATGTAATCAATGTAGAGCCCCCAAATGCTCTGGTACGGCCGAGAGTGGAGGGAGTCTGCTCACCCTCTCAAAATGCTCTCACATGGCCACGCGTGTATAGTCTCTGCCAGGAAAGTCCTACTCAGTGCCTTCTCGTGGCGCGGGTGTTGTTTACGAAAATGAGAGGACGAAAAGCGAATGTCCGGCGCTTTAACCAGATCCCAAACCATTGGTGCACATGGGCTCCAGTATCCTGCGGGAACAAATGGCGTAGGAACCAATCGTTGGTCACCGGCTTCCATGGGACTGCATCTCGTTACGATGCTCCACTGCCTTATGGATCAGACCTTCAGGTCGAAGGCTCGGGGGTGGCCGCCGCCTAAAAAAGCCACCTGCTTCGGTTTGGGCACCTGGGCAGTATCACAGCCCTCACACATATCGAATGAGATTTGTGTAGAGATAGAAGAATAGGAGATTCATAATACATTATGTATTCCACAACAACAACAACAACAACAAAATAACCAATCATGTTACTATTTACAATAAATAGTCAAAAATTGAGCTAATTGCCTTTTACACAGCTAAATGTAAATTAATCCAATCACATTATATAGGATGTTTTTTTCTTTTCTTCTTTTTTAAACTATCCGATTTTATATCCTCTAATAGTATACTGGATTCAGAAGCGGATCGTTTACGTTGAGATAATATTGGTGTTTCTATTGTTTCTATACAAATATGATCACCATTTGTTAACATTGAATTTTCAACAAGATCAATTGATTCTGAATGATAACGTTTTTTCTTTCTCTTCATCGTTGTACTTTTCTCTTCTTTGTCATCATTTAATAGTTGATATTGATTTATTTCGGTTGTTTGTTGTTGTTGATCTAATTCTCCTTCATCATGATTCATTATTTCATTCGGATCATTAGAAACATCATCCACAACAGTAGTTGTAGTAGTGGTAGTAATGTTCCCATTTATTAAATTACGCTTTTTCTTACGTTTCTTTTTACTATCTAATATAGGTGTTTCGAGTGTTGTGACAGTTGCTTCTTCTTGACTATCTGAATCTCTTTTATTCAGTGTTTTAATTGCTTTTTTCTTCGTTCGTTGAATATATTTATTCACCTTGATGAAAAATAACCGAAGAAAAAAGTGGATAGGGACTGAATCATCTAAATATTAATTTTAAGCATAGAATATAAAATTGACAACAAAGCACTATTGAACATCAGAGCCTACACATTAATATTGATAAACAATAGATGATTATTAGAATCAAAGTTATACAATAATGTTGGAACGTTGACATTAACGTTCATTAAGGATATAAAAAGTCAATGAGAGAACTACAAGGCGAAAAAGCTATCTTTTTCTTCAATTCCGAGAGTTCGCAACAATCCTCAAAGTTTTCGATAATCCAGAATCTCCGAGTTCCACGATGACCATGATGCTTAGACATCTGAATTGGAACACCACGAGGTTTATAGTTTCAGCTTTAATGAGTTAGTAACAGAATGCGACTATTATGCCAGTTCGTTGACGATAGCTGTCTTACACTCCACTGCCGCTAATTCTCACTATAACTTTAGGAGGCTCTTTAAAAAGGTAGTTACAAATGAGCATAGAGTCACTATTGCTTACTTTAAGGAGTTTTGTGGAGATTGATTTAATTTGTAGGTTTTATTCGTCACACATTGATCTCAGTTGGAAAACCATTGAAAACCAACAAATAAAGGACAGTTGTTTCGTCCCAACGTGAGACTCCTCAGAAGTGCGCACCTACGATGAAGATATTTGTGACCAGTTGTTAGCGGGACATAGACTGGATTAAAGCATGCTCAATGCATGATTGCTTTGGTGCACGCTGATTGGCTAATTCCTATCCAATCAGCACTAGCCGATTGTCGGAGAATACTCTGGAATCTTCTTATGTAAAAACTATAAATATACTGACGTTTTCCCTATTGTGCTTCTGGCTTGCATCTTGCCTCCATCTAACCTTGTTATTTGGAATATAACCTCTTTCCTGTTCAACCGTGTTCTGATTTGGGGACTTGTCGAGTGAATCGGTGTCTGAGAATACTAAGCAATAGGAATAGCTGGGTTATAACCGTAAGAACGGGATTATAACACCAGTCTACTCTGGTTTTATGATGGATTTGGAGAAGTGGGAATTCAAGTTGAGTGTTAGTCGACAACGTGATAAATGCACGGAAAAAGTCAGTAAATTCAGGTCTTGTAGTGAAAGCAAAAACAAAACAACTATGACCTAAACAGTTGTAATGATTCAGTTTCTCTTGTTTTCAGTACATTTTAAGACTGGTCCTGTACGAGGGGCATTGACTGAACTGATAGGTGCCAAGAAACATATCCCTTCTGACTCTAGACGCAATGAAAAGTGAAAACAACTTAAACGTATGCTAATAAAAAGCCTACGCAATGACTGTGAGCAGTGGTGGGTAGCGAAAGCAGAGGTAGAAAAGGCAGAAGCGATAGGTAGCAGCAGACAACTGTTCTGACTTATCAAGGAAAGAGGTATTAAAAATCCGGCTGTTAGTGAAACTATCTCGGAAAAAGATGGAACTATTATTCGCTCTCAATCCAAGAGATTCAACTGAGGGGGAGAAGTTTTTAGGGAACAGTTCAACAGGCTTTCAGCCACACCTCAGTTACTGTCATCAGAATTGGTTAATTCAAGTGGTGTTCGTCAAGATTGTTCGTTTCCCTCATAGATATGCTTATTGTTTAACTTTTCACGGATTGATCTTCTACTAGAAGATTCAATTGTTGACTTAGGATACGCAGATGGCATAGTTCAGTCTGGTGAAAACGCTGACAAAATGTTGTGCTATGACTACTTTAAGCAACAATGCAAGCATGTTTGAGATGCAGTTCTCTCTTTCCAAATGTAAAATAGTTTTCGGATTGACTTTTGTCAGGGCCTGAAATAATGATCGAGAGTAGAGTAGTTGAGCGTATATCAATTGCCTCAATTATATTGGAAATCTCATTAGTTCTAATGAAACCTTAGCACGAATTCAAAGGGCTCAATTGGCTTGTGTTAACTTGGGCCACTTGTAGTCTGAGCAAGATATCCGCCAAGTAAGAACTGACAAATGTGGATCGGTTCAAGCTGCCACACCATATCAACACAGAGATGAAATTTTCAGGAAAAATGCCAGAGAAGTAGTGGCAGTATAAGTGGTTGGTAATATCTTTCAAGAATGAATCCGTGGAACAAGAAATAAGAAGCATAAGATAATTTTAAAACTTGAAATCTAATAGGAGACACATATTGAACTCTTCTGAACCACTTTCAGCGATTCTGAGCCACATCACCTTTTAAAAGTTACTTTTCACAACAGAAAAGTAGAACAGAACGAATTACTGATTAGTATAGTCGTCTTTTAATATGCAGACAGACAACTTGCCTACGCCACAGGTGATACAGGTTGGTAGAAGCTAACTAAACTTTTAGAGTTGGACAGTTATTCTGGCAACTGTAGAAAGAATCACGTCGGGTAAAGTGGACTATTCAGCAGTACGGACATTTTCGTTTTTTTTGATGATTCTTAGAATTTTCTATGGATTAATGCGTGAAACTAAAAGTTTATATTCTACGAAATTTAGTAAGTAAATAAATGAGTAACGCTTGATCAACGTGCTCAAAGTAATCTTTCTGTTTGCTACATCAACGGAGGTAAGATTAACTAACAGTTGAATAAATAATTAAAGACTAGTATACTAACCTCAGCAATTGCGCGCGCCATAGCTTCAGCATTTGTAGGGGGCGTAGTGCCAGTCTCAAAATAATTCAGCCTATCCTCAATTTGTTGCTTCAGATGTTTCCCATAGATATCACAAAGCACTTCACTAAAGCAGTCGATTCGAGAGGCTATAGCACATTTGGCAGCCAAAAATCTAGAGATCTTCCCCTTATTTTCTCGCGCAGCACGAGTGATAAATTGACTATGATAAATCAATCCATACTTTGGTGTAGCACCACGAGTTCGTAATGCTCTGAATAACGCTTTTTCCGCCCCCAATATCTGAATTGTAGAGGCAGGGAATTTAGCCAAGTTCGTAAGGGATCCCGCATGAGCAATTAGCCTTGCACTTACTCTGTCCCCAATCATTGTGCTTAAGTTTGGGGCAACACCAGCAAGTTTCTTTGCTAAATATTCTTGTGTTAGTCTTCTACGTTCAATCAATGCATTAATTTTTTCAGTGAATGTTGCCAAATTCTCAGCATCATCATCCGTAATATCGAAGCCTACATGCAATTAAAATCAGAAACACAATGTCAACATACCGACGGATGATTTAGCAGATTCAATGATATCTGAAGCAACTTGACTATTAGTTAAAGCCTCCAATGCTTCAAGATTTTCTTCTGTTGCACCAGCTCGGGTACGAATAAGACCGACTACTTTAACAAAAGTTGGATTGTCAGGAACAATTTTTGACAATTCTGGGAAATGATAAGAGAACCATTCTTTGACACGCATGCAAAAGTTATTCACATCTTTATCTAATTGGTCTAGTAAATTTATGGACTGAATAATCATATTGTCATTTCTAAACAAATAGATAAGTAAAGGATAAAAATAAACAAACCTGTATATATTAAATTTCACTTTGGCTCTAGAGTAACTATGACCCAAACCTATTTGAGCTTTTGACTCATCGAAATGCGAAAATTCTTTGATGTATTTAGGAAAGTAAAATCGGATAGCCCTATAGACTTCATGAAGAATGGATTCAGATGAACATGCAATAGTTTCAGGCAATCCAACTTCAGGCGCTTTAAGAGATTCAGCAAGTTTCCGGTCTGAGATGCACAGCAAAACATCTGAAAAAGCAGGTAAATTCTCCTCTATGAACGTTTTAAGTTCCTGTGGAACAACACCTTCTGATATCCCATTACAATTTTGTAGAGCACTAGCTGAGGAGGAGAAAGGCACAAATGCATGCAATTTAAAACATTTCATAAACTCTTCTTCATCGTTTAACAGATCTGCAGCTAACTGTTGTAACGCAGCAACGGCATCTGAAGTTTCTAATGACTTGACTTTAACTCGGAACAGTGCGTATCCTAACGCGTGCTCATACAGAATATAGACCTTCTGTAAAGAAAAAAGGCATCATAAAAATGTATACTACGAGATGAAATATTTTCAGTGAAAACATTAAAATTAAATCAACAGATCACATTTATATTTATCCTGTGTGATTTACTTACCTACTTCGGTTTAGGCGTCTGGGAAATATCCCAGCCCTCACACAAATCTAATGATGTGTGGCGTATATACATTTGGTGCCTCCTTGTACCAGTGTTCGTGTCTAAAAATAAAACTTGCCATGAGTGGTGCCTTCGTAACATAAAAACTTATTCCGGGTTGATAAGTCAGTTACGTTATCATTGGATTTTTAACTTTATTTATTTTGACTGTTATACTGAATGGTGTTCTTTGCATTTAGTTAATAAATTCAAACAACCGGTTCAAGTGATCTAACTAGAATCGGTTAAAGTTAGACACGCAAAATTTGATATTGCTTTTTATAATGAATGGAATAACATACCATCTCCTTGCGAAAAAACTGGATGTGGCTGTATATGAAGTTTGTCGAAGTGTTTATAAACGACAATCTGTACTAAAGTGTATCGAGTTTCAAGAAACAATCACAAGACTTCGGTCTGACAGTCGACGAGTAAAAAGAAAACCGACTTAACAGTAAAATCGGACGAAAAGTAGCTGCTAATATGAAATAAAGACCCTTTGCAAAATGTACATAAATGAAAACGCTGACTTCATGAATGTATACCGTTTGAGAAAATACCATAATTACCATGGCGATTTACTTTTGCAAAATACTAATAAGTAATCTTAGCTTACATGATAATTTAAATTACATTACATTTAACAGATATATTAAAGGAATACTATTACTGTGCCATATATTTATTTACTTATTTCAACACATAGATATTAGTACAAAGAGGCACCAAATACATATGCGCCACACAAATCTCATTCGATATGTGTGAGGGCTGTGATACTGCCCAGGTGCCCAAACCGAAGCAGGTGGTTTTTTTAGGCGGCAGCCACCCCCGAGCCTTCGACCTGAAGGTTTGATCCATAAGGCAGTGGAACATCGTAAAGAGATGCAGTCCCATGGAAGCCGGTGACCAACGATTGGTTCCTACGCCATTTGTCCCCGCAGGATACAGGAGCCCATGTTCACTACACAGTAGTAATGTGATTTACTTACCAAGTTGAGTGATGTACCTGAAATCAGATCACACTTTTTGTTAGAACTAGTCTCCATTCAACTGTGAAAATCGAAGACGGTCAGTGGTTGAATATGTAGATTGGCAAATTGTCTTTCAAGTCATTGTGTGATTTTGCAAGTTGAAATAAGCAGAGACAATAAGGCAGGAAATAGCCATGATGGACCTAGTAATAAGAGAAACTTACGCCATTCGGTGTGAACGCAATTGTACTACGCAAGGACTAATATAGGACATATTGTTAGATACTTAGAACAAACAGCCTTAATAATATCAGGCCAATACATTTTAAATCTGACGGTCGATAACCACTCAACACTTCTATTCAGTCAGTCATAAGTAGTGTAAGCAACGCCCTTGTCTGACCCCATAGAAGAGATAACCAGACTGGTTTTTGCATGCTACATAACGTTTGATCACATTGAATTGCTAGATCCTAGAACAGCAACACTGACACATTACACAATATCTAATCATAAATTAAGGTGATGCCATTTTGGTGTTCGATAAGAGCAGTATAAAAACTTTATGAAAGGATTTAAAGGAAAGGTAAAGCTCAAGTAATTTTTGGCTCGCAACTGCTGTAACATGAAGCTTGAACAAACGATCTTCTTACTACAAATTGTATTTCTTGTTAGAGAGCACCTACAGAGATTATTTCGTGGGCTGTGAAAGACAAAGCGATATGCTGCTTAGACATTTTTGTGAAGTAGCAAGCCTTCCCCTCTACAAAGACCTTGGAATTTGTGGTAATGAAGAGATTTAAACCACATAAGGCCACAAACTGTAATATTAAAATTGACGGGGTTAAACTCCAAAGCACATTGGATCAAAGCATTAAACTGGAATGTTTGACTAACATTTTACTGCTGTCAGAGGATCCTGAAGTCAAACAGGACTGAAGTATTACTTTGTATTGTTAAAAAGTATTAAACACCCATAATACCAAAAGATGTAGTCTTTCATCACGAGTCCGAACTTCCTGCACTCACCTACGGTGAAACGTTAGGTTTTTATTGTTGACAAGGTGTCATTCATTATCGCTACAATGACAAATAAATTGCTCATTTTAAATATTATAACACGATAGCATGTTGGAGTCTTTCGGCACAGAACACAAAAACCACTTAATGTTATCCATACGTTATGTAATTCACTACTTTTCTGCAGATACGTACTCAAACTCCACTGATAGACACTACCATCCAAAGAATAATCCTAGTTACTTCTATTAATGAAACAATATTTAAACCATGAAAATTGGGTGGACCGTTTAGCTTTATAAGTGCGGTTTTCAGGATTCAAAGATGTTTACACAAGTATGCTTATTTATCTCATGGCCAGAAAACCACAGTTACAAGTCGGAGTACAAGGGAAAAAATGAGTGGCACAAGCAGCTGGTGAACGGATAGAAAGTGTTTCACACTGCACGAGTTAAGGGTACAAAACACATTCTAAATATGGCTTTGATTTGGTGATATTCAGAAGACTGTTACATGGACGGCCTCATACACTGTTGACAATACTGTAATAAACAATAGTGTGGACCGAGCATTCCATTCATAGGATATGTTGGTGGAGTAGCAGGTATCCACCAGAATTTTTTCATCCGACAGAAGGAACATTGAAGTATTATGAAAAGGGACTAGCTTCTTCTCTTGGCCAATCGCCTGCAAACCGAAATGTTATAACATGACCAAAACCACCACAGCGTGCACGTACTGTCATGATCTCAAAAAATCGCGCGTATGACCTTCAAATTCCGATCTGGATTAAATGGTACAGTCTTCAGTTATAAGTATAGGAGGTCTTTCGACTTATATTATTCCTTGCAGTTTGTAAAACTGTGAAGGTCTAATCTTTTTTGAATATATCAACAGGTGCCATGAGCAATACTCAAATGTATGTGTTTCTCCTGGTCCGCTTGTTTTTAAGTAGTTCTAGATTAAGTAATATACCTCTGGAAATAGGTGATCAATAAAATATTCATGCCCAGTTAGAACAGTTGGTACAGGTCGTGCTGATACCGCTAAGTGGGAATGGTTAATCAACCAGTGTAGATAGTTGTGTTCTGAGAGAGAATTCCAGTAATTCACTACTTGGTGCGAGAAACGAAATTCCAAATGTAGACGATTTGATCTCGGTTTTTGAACTCTGTTCGAACGTTCTCACATATGATCGGTCTTAGATGAGAGGAAAATATGTAACAGCATAGGTTGGTTGGTTAAAAGTTGACCCCAAACAACCAAGCATATGCCAAAACAGTATTGTTCAAGTACTCATTCACTTCCTTATTTTGTATAAGCATTATATTCCGTATTATCTTATATTGAATGTTGAAAGCCTCTTGCTTGTCTGAATAGATAATCCCACGCTCCATTGTGACTGCGCGAAGATCGAAATAAAGACGTACTCACTACTTCTCTGGTTTCTTCTATCAATAGCACGAGGGTTACCTATAGGCACGAAAAATATAAGCCATAATAATATCAAGGTCATCGTTCAGTATACGAAAAGCCAATATTAAATCACCCCGTATTCTACCGGATAGAAGCATTCGGTTGACGAGCTTAAGTGTTAAGCAGCAGTGAAATAAGGATTTTTATGTGTAGAAATCTAGGTATGTGAAACAATAAAAGGAAAAGTAGCATATATATGTATGAATGGTATGTGCATGTGATATTCTGATCAGTGCTGCTGAAGAAATATTAAGTCAGATTCAGATTTGTGTAGTAAGGACAGAAGGCCTACGGCCTATGTTATTCCTTTTCTAGTATGCTACTGTGAGTGTCCAGTCTTCTCTTGAAAGAGTCAATTGAAGGTGCGGACACCACTGCTTCGGACAGCAGGTTCCAAGTATTGATGACTTGGTGTGAAAACCTGTATGCCACGGCTATTTTGTTCGTTCTTGGCTTTACTATTCGCCTTCTATATCCTCTGAGACGTCCTGAAAGGGTGGGAAGAAAGAGAGAGAATAAGTTAGGTCCAAAATCATTTCTCAGTATTTTTTACATCAAAATTAGATATCCCCTTAAGCTGCGATAAGACAGAGTAAAGAGGTCCAGCTTTTCAAGCCCCTCTCTGTATGGTAAACCCCGGGGTTCTGGAGTTGCACGTGTAGCTGCCCTCTGTACTTTAACTAAGATATCCGAGCCACCTTTTAAACAAGGGCTTGCAGCCTGAACGCAGTTCTCAAGCTTAGATCTCACTAAGAATGTGTATACTGTGGTGAACAGGGTTCGAAACCCCTTAGCTGCAACCTCCCGGCAATGGGCCGTCGTCTTAAGATCATGACTCACTATCACCCCCAGATCCTTATGAGACCGGACTACGGGTAATGGCACTTCCCCTGTGTTGTACCTATTAACCTTTGAATCCCTAAAGTGCACGTAGACACACGTTTCCGCGTTGATAGGCATCAGCCACTCTTTAGACCAGTTAATCATATTATTTAAGTCTGCCTGAAGAGCACATGCGTCTGTGTCTCCAGTTATTACTCGCCAGACATGTAAATCGTCAGAGTATAGTAACATTGAAGACTGTATTATACTTGGAAGATCATTAACATACATTATAAAAAGTAAAGGACCTAGGACGGAGCCTTGAGGTACTCCATTAAGTACTGGTCTCCAGATGGAGCACTTGGAATTTAATCTTACTTTCTGTCTACGACCTACAAAGAAATCCTCAATCCATTTTAAAGGAGGTCCGGCTATACAAAGGTTTTCCAACTTCAATAGCAGTCTATTAGTTGGCACTTTGTCAAAAGTCTCCTTTTGAATGACTTTAAAAACTTGTGAAAGTTGTTCCAGACTGTGGTGAGTTCCAAGACCTGAATACTTGTAAGGAGTAGTTGTATGCATCCCACTTTACAGTACTGTGCATCAAATGTCAAGTATTTCCCATTAAATTAGTATTGTAAATGGGCCTAAGTAAGTGTTTTGTAGGATTCCTATGGGCTTTAAGAATTTTATAAGTCGTTAAACTTCTGCCTTTGAGTCTACTGTACCCTGCAGTGAAAAGATTATGAGGTTTGGATTTAGGTATGCCTGTAACAGCATAGGTTGGTTGGTTAAGAGTTGACCCCAAACAACCAAGCATATGCCAAAACAGTATTGTTCAAGTATTCATTCACTTCCTTATTTTGTATAAGCGTTATATTCCTTATTATCTTATATTGAATGCTGAAAGCTTTTGTTTGTCTGAACAGATAATCCCACGCTCCACTGTGACTGCGCTAAGATCGAAATAAAGACGTACTCACTACTTCTCTGGTTTCTTCTCTCAATAGTACGAGGGTTACCTATAGGCACGAAACTGGTGAGCCCTTTTTGAACACAAATTAACCTCATTTTTGTTATTAATATTTTTTTTTACTCAATCGTAAAAGTAGACCTGATAATCCGTAAACTAAGTTGGGTATATAAATAGTTTATTTTTTTTTATTATCTTAAGTTATTCGTGTCATAGAAACCTTTTTTTCGTGCTAATTTTATTGCTATATTTGTCACATACCTCATGTCAGACTTAAAAGAAACCCATAATCTGGAGGATTTGTCACCAGTGGAGATAGACACTGTTATGACTACGAAATCTCGACTTCCAGAATTTGATCGTAGTGATCCTGAGTTGTGGTTTGCTCAACTCGAGCATTATTTCACGAGACACAATATCAAATCTGAAGGGATTCGCTATAGAGATTTGTGTTCTATCCTTCCTCCTTCAGTCGCCAAAGAAGTCCGTGACTTGATTTTAGATCCACCATCACCACAACCGTACACCATCTTAAGACGAGAGATAATGAACCGTTTATCATTATCAGATAGTCAAAGAATCCAAAGACTTTTTCAAGGTGAAACACTAGGTGATCGGTCGCCGTCACAGTTTCTACGTCACCTCCAAGTCTTAGTGGGTGATAACACAGTGGGTGAAGCAGTCCTAAAACAAGGATGGATACAAGCTCTCCCATGCTACGTCCAACACTGTTTGGATGCACAAGATCCTGAAACCTCATTATCTCATTTAGCGCGTATAGCTGATAGAATAATGGAAAGAGGTCCTCCAACTGGATCAGGCACAATAAATCACACACAGAAAGTAGAATCAGCAAAAGACCCCGTCATAGAAGGACTCATTGCGAGTGTTAAGAGTCTCACTGAGGCTGTCACCAGAATGCAAATGGGTCATACAAACAGGAGCAGGTCACCACAACGATCACGATCCAAGTCACAAAATAGGTCACAAATGTCCAGACAATCTGGGCAGTTTTGTTGGTACCACTGGAAGTTTGGTGTCAACTCAACCAAGTGCAGGCAACCATGCGCCTGGCCTAAGCATAATTCCAAGACAGCGGGAAACGAGTAACCCCTCCCCAGGTCGCGACAACTGAGGAGGGGCGCCTAAACAGTCGCTTGTTTTATGTCAGAGACAGAAACTCGGGCTTGAATTTCTTGGTGGATACTGGCGCTGCTCTTAGCATCATCCTTCGAAATAAAACTGAGATTAGTCGAGAAACATCCCCGATTACACTTCAAGCTGCAAATAAAACTACAATCGCGACATTTGGGCAGAAAACGTTAACCCTAGATCTGGGGTTCAGAAGGCAATTCCCTTGGGTTTTCACGGTAGCTGACTTAGATCTGGCAATACTGGGGATGGACTTTCTAGAGAGATACGAATTTCGTGTTGACACCAAGAAACGGCGATTAACACTAAAAGAAACTTCGTTTTACACAAAAGGCAAAGAAAGTCACATCAGCTCTCTTAACTTGATTCAAACCCCTCCAGTAACAACAGCGAAATTCCAAGATATACTCGCGGAATTTCCAAACTTAACTAAACCAAACCCACAGCCTTCCAAAGACAAACTAAAAGTAAGTCACACTATCAAAACCGAAGGTGCACCGGTGTTTGCAAAACCCAGGAGACTAGCACCAGATAAGCTCAAAATCGCTAGAGCCGAGTTTGATTATATGCTACAACTGGGTATTATCCGTCCCTCTGATAGTCAATGGGCATCCCCTTTGCATATGGTCCCAAAGAAGAATGAAGGTGACTGGCGACCGTGCGGGGATTACAGAGCCCTCAACCGTCAAACCGTACCAGATAGGTACCCAATACCGCATATCCAAGATTTCACAAACGGTTTACAGGGTATGAACATATTCACTAAAATTGACTTAGTCAGGGCATATCACAATATCCCGGTGGCTGATGAAGATATCCCTAAGACAGCTATTACAACACCCTTTGGCTTATTCGAGTTTGTACGCATGCCATTCGGCCTGAGAAACGCGGCACTTCTTCAGATATTCTTATTCCACAGTTTAACACTCTTTTTCATGAAAGCACGCAGTAAACCGTCAGCTATAGTTGTAGAAGAAATCATATGCTACAAAATAAGATGACAAGATAGTAAATGAAGAGACATCCATGGACTACCGTTGACAGAGTTAGTTGCCACTTATTGTAAGTCAAACATTGAGTGAGTTGATAATTTTCCCTTGGGATGAGAAATAGAACTAAGGTGTTTTTTGATAGATAGGTTAATCGAACCGACGTTCCTACGGAAGTCGATTCTAGGGGGAAGCTAATGTAACAGCATAGGTTGGTTGGTTAAGAGTTGACCCCAAACAACCAAGCATATGCCAAAACAGTATTGTTCAAGTATTCATTCACTTCCTTATTTTGTATAAGCGTTATATTCCTTATTATCTTATATTGAATGC